CCAACACCTTGTCAACATTGAGTTCAACTTTGTTTCAATGTTGAAACATGCTTTTGCCCACTGGGATATGACTTCAATAGTAACTATTCTCTGTATAGTAACTATTCTCTGCTAATTTCTGAGTGTTTGACATTTTATTTTCACCACTGAATATCGGATGTTGAACTTTTTGATATAGTGCAACGCCTAAGCCGTATCAAAAACAAAAAAAAAACAGGCACCACCTCCAGTGTTGCACTTGACAAGTTCTACAACATGCAAGAATAAAGGTCTCTAGTATTAATGGTTCCAGAATTAGAGAGAGTTTTCAGTTTTTGCATCTAATGGCCGCTTCTACCGTGAAAATGCACCGATTGACCCCAAACTCAGGAAAATGAAAGATGACCCTAAGGGTAACTCCTGCCCATAATATTATAGGTTAGATCTGTTTAGTTTCTAAAAATCGACTGAAATAAAAAAAAAATTTTGCAAAAAATTCCCTTTTTTAGAAAATTTTGGCCTGTTTGACCTTGAAATAAAGGTCAAAGGTCAAATCTAAGGGCATATTTGAAATCCTCACATCTGTCTTTCTGGCAGCAATCTGTAGAAATTTTTCCCATAATTCCATCGGTTTGGGAGATATTTAACATTGAAATGAATTTTCAAAAATTTTGACAAGGGTGCGTTTCAACCAGTGTCACGCCCAGGCCAATGCACCAACTGAGACAAAAAAAAACCTGGGGGTTCAAGTTGAGATTATATGTGACCTAAATCCAAGAGATGGGGACGCAGGTCCTTGCGGTCTAAGAGGAGAAGCGGTAACGGTGACTTGTATCCCACGTCATCCTACGGAGCCACAGGAGCCGGCGGAGCTATACGAGACGGGTCGGGACTAAAACCATGAGTACCGCGTACATGCTGGTGGTATTAATTACTTATAACGGACAAGGGGAAAACATATCTCCCTTGCTTTTTGCTATCTTAATGATTTAGAGGATTTTCTATCTAACAAAAATGTTGTTGGTGTACAGTAACTGATGAGCTTGAAAATGAGCTTGATGTGTATGTCAAAATTATGGTGATACTTTAGGCAGATGATACATTACTAATGTCAGAGACAAAAGATGATCTTCAATATCAACTTGATTGCTTTTTTGAATACTGTTCAAATTGGAAATTGCAGGTAAATGCTGACAAGACTAAAATACTAATATTTGGAAAAGGGAGACAACCTAAAGAATTGTCATTTAAATATAACAATAATGACATTGAAATTGTCAAAAGTTTTAAATATTTGGGAATTTTTATATCTAGAACGGGATCATTTTATTCTACGCGAAAATGTGTAGTACAGAGGGCAACAAGAACTATGTTTGGCATTTATAAAAAAGCTAGAAAGTTAAATTTATCAATTAATTGCAGACTAGACCTCTTTGATAAGATGATACACACTGTAGTTCCACTTTTGTTATATGGAGCTGAGATATAGGGATATGAAAACTTAGATATTATAGAAAAAGTGCATCTTACATCAACACCAAATTATATGGTATATGGAGAATTGAAATGGTTCCCACTTAGGATAACAGTCAAACTGAGGATTGCCAATTATTGGATTAAACTTCTAAATGGCAAGAATGCAAAATTGTCCTGTATATTTTATAGATTATTGTATGCACTGAATACAAATCGTAATACTCCAAAGTTTAAATGGCTGAACTATATACAGTCAATTTAACAAGATTGTGGATTGAATTATATATATATATGTGGATATCCCAAAATGTACAAAATAAAAAAGGCTTTATCCTGAGAATTGAGCAAACCCTTCGGGATCAGATTATACAGAACTGGTGTAATGATTGTAATAGTTCATCAAAAGGTTTCTTTTACAAGTTGTTGACACAAAATGAATTTTGTTCACGTAATTATTCAGAATTGGACCTATCAAAAGGAGAAACTGTACTAGAGAACTAGTAACCATTATGATAGACTACCAATTGAGGTAGGTCGATGGAATAAAACTGAAAACAAATCAGAGAATATGTAATTTATGCTAACACAGTATATGTGATGAGTTTCATTATATTATGGATTGCGTTTTATTCACCAATGATAGAAGGTTGGTGCCTTATTATTTTATAAACAGACCAAACCCTTATAAGTTTTACAATCTTTTTGCTTCAAAGAATATCAATATATTGAAAAACTTGTGTATATCCGTAAAACTAATCAATGAGAGGTTTAAAAATACTGTTATATGTTCTCAATGTGAAAACAAGAGGAACAAGGCAGCAAAGCTGTCAAATGTACAGACAAAAAGCTGAAAATAACAATGCACAAAATAGGCTACTGTCAATTCTGATACAAAAGTACATTATGCTTAAATGCAAATTCAATATCAAAATTTAATTATTCTCAACAGGTATAATACCAATGTAAGTAAAATGTGTAACAAGCATAAGGCTTCAGGCCCATGAGAGTTCACACTTTGAAAGTGCCAGAATGAGAAAAATGAAAATTTTACACAAATTTGCATAAGTTTAATAATAAATTATAACCCAACTGAGCTGGCTTTCTAATTTGAACTGCATGCCAATCCTAAAAATCATACTTGTAAGTTAAAAATAATAATAATAAATAACACAGTTTTCTTTTCAAAATGTTTGTAGTAGCAGTGCATTTTTGTCAATTTTGATGTAACATTACATAATAAATTACAGAATAATTATCACCAATTTTTGATTTTTGACTATAAATAGTATGGACATGTAGAAAATTTGGTTACCATATGGCTTTATGTCCATGGGTGCTCCGAGTCCCACAATGAATATGCCAACACAATAAAAATGAATATTTCAGTAAAATGTATAACTTCAAGAAAAAGAAGCCAATTAGACTGCTTTTTCAACTCAGGCTGCATTTTAGTCCTGTGTTTCTTTTTTGAAAGTTTGACAATCATAAGTAACATGGTTTTCCCATAATGGTCATCATGGCAGCAGCTCCCAAAATTGTGTTTTCTTCTATTTTGATGCAATATTACATAATGCTTAACAGCATAATGACCATCAATTTTTAATAATGAAATATAAGTATCATGGATTTTCAGAAAATGTGACTTGCATGGGTCTTCAAGCTTGTGGTGGTTCCAAGTCACACCTTGAAAATGCCAATATGTGAAAAGTTAAATTTTGACAAAAAAACTGTTTAATTGCCAGAAAAATTTACCAAAAAGACTGCATTGCTTACTGAAGCTGTATTTTAGTCCTGTGTTTCTTTCCTGTAAGTTTGAGAACAGTAAGTGACATGGTTTTCCTTAAATGGTCATCATGGAAGCAGTGCCCAAAACAGGGGTTTCTTCAAATTTTGATGCAACATTACATAATGTTTAACAGCATAATGACCATCAATTTTTAATAATAGAATATTAGTATCATGGACAAACAGAAAACGTGACTAACAAAGGTTTTTAGGAACATGGAATTTCAAAGTCACACCTTAAAAATGCCAAAATGTAAACAAGACAGCACTGTTCTGAAATGGGTTTATTTCCATTTTTAACACTTTTTTAACATAAAACAAAATTAACATTTTACTGCCATTTTTATATGATCAACTAAGAAAATTGATGAGATGGGAAAAATATCAATAGAATAGTGTTAAATGGCCAATTTCTTCCATTCTGAGATTCTGAACATACTGAATGATTGAATTTGGCAAACTGCAATGATATGAGTTCATTTCCATTTTTGACACTTTATTACACAATACACGATAACAAGTTTACCATCATTTTTACAAAATCAACTAACAATGTTGTAAAGATGCAGGAAATGTCAAACAAACACTTTTATGTATCTTATTAGTTAAATAATAAGACTGTTAACATGCCTAAGAATTGAATTTGAGGAAATGTGAAAAAACAGTATAACTTCTAAAATAATGACCCGATTATGCTAATTTTCAAACTCAACCTGCATTTTAGTAAGATTGACCACTCCTGTGAGTTTCATGACAACAGGCCTATCGGTTTTCTTTGAAATGTGTTAACAGTGTTGCATATATGCTGAAAAGTGAAAGAACAGCATAACTACTAAAATAGTGGCCCGATCATGCCGATTTTCGAACTTGACCTACGTTTTAGTAAGATTGATTACTCCTGTGAGTTTCATGACAACAGGCCTATCGGTTTTCCTTGAAATGTGTTAACAGTGTTGCATATATGCTGAAAAAACAACATAAATTCTGTTATGTCTTGTGCTTGTTTGCACTCTGCGTGGGTTATAGATTAGTGACTATCATTACTATCTTTTACTCATCACTCAAGACCATGCCATCTTACTATCCTTCATTTCCTAAACAGCTCTTGCCACTAGTGTCACCACTAGACAAGACATTACACCCTCTTTTCTTTCCAAACAAACAAAAAAAAATATTAACAATACTTCAACTTACACAACGTGATTAACAATGACATATTATTTAATACACTTTAACCTTACTCGTATCTCACAACTTTAACTTGTAAAGCAGCTTTTTTCTTATTTACTTAAATCTCTTACTTTAACTTGTAAAGTAGTTTTCTTCCTCACTTATCTCAGTCTTTACTGTAAGTCTTATACAGTTTCACCTATTTTCTCTAACCCTATACAGCAACTTTTTTTTTTTTTTTTTTTTTTTTTACATTTCACCTTAAGTCTGATATTACATCTTGATGTTCATTCTTTATGAAATTCAATAAAACACTTTAAACTAAATTACTGTTACTACTACATGTACAATCAACTTCAACAGGTCTTTTCTGTTTCTTCTTGTAATTCTGCCACTATAGGCATTTGTATGTTATATGACCTTGGGTTTTTCTGATGTTGGGGTAATAATAAAGCTGGTTGCCACTTCCCATTCTTTCTAACTCTTACAGTGGAATCTCTCTGTATGGGGTTTAACTCTTTTGCATTCCTATCATAATACTTTCTATTTCTAACATGCCTATCTTCATGTAATTGCTTTTGTACCTTTTCTTATTGTTTTACCTGTGGTTTTAACTTTTCAACTGATGTTGGTATAATTGTCCTTGTTCTTCTGCTAAACAACCTCTGAACAGGTGAGCGTGTGTTCTCATCTCTGGGGGTATTTCTGATGTTTAGTAAGGCTAAATATGGATCACTCCTGGTCTCATTGCATTTAATTAACATCTTCTTCGCAATCCCTACATATTTTTCTACCATCCCATTTGCCTGCGGATGTTCTGGTGATGAAGTCTTGTGTACAAAATTGTAAGATTCTGCAAAATGTTTCCATTCACTGCTGTTAAATGGAAGACCACTTGTTACCTGCTCTGGAATCCCATGTACACTAAACCATTTCTTTGTCTGTACTTTCTTAATGTTGAATGTAATGTGATTTTCTTTTGCCCTCTGCAGCACTTGTTTCAATGTTTTATTGTATTCTTCTAATGTACTGCCTATGATCAGGAAATCGTCCATTATCATTTCAAGACCTTCTATGTCTCCAAAAATATCTCCAAATGCTCTCATAAACAACTCTGGTGCTGACGTAATTCCCATAGGTAGTGTCTTGTATCTATATCTGCCAAATGGTGTAACAAATGCCGCGTAGTTCTTGGATTTATCATCTAATTCTAGTTGAAAATATCCCTGATTGGCATCTAAAACTGTCATGTACTTAACTCCTTTCATTCTCTGTGCCACTGACTCAGCTGTATTGGTAGGGTAATGTAACAGACCGATAGCTCGGGTTGATGTTTCTTTATTGTTATTGTACAAATATCTGCAAATATCTCCAAATATCTGGAAGAGCAATATAAACAAATTAATTTTAAACAATTACATATACAAAATTTACACTGACGAAAGACAAAGACAGAACAAAGAAATAAAAATATAGCAATGCCAAAAACACCATAAAAAATAAATATATCAATTTAGAAATGTATGAATTTAAACTATGGATTGGTCCTTTATTAAATATAGTTAAACTTACCTGCAAGCTCACTGGAATACCTATTTCAGTTATTCAACCTGCATCTCCGTCCGACTCTCAGGTGGAAATCAAATTTTATGGGGCGCGGTCTTTCAACCCTTGACCTCCACGTACACATACGAACATACACGATACACACCGAACACAATCATAGCTAACACAACAAACACAGCAAACCTTACA